GGCCCCTGGCGACGCCGCCGCCGCCCGCTCCGCTTCGGGGGCCACGACCGTCGGCCGTTTGCGGCCACCGTGCGTCGCTCGTCGGCGCTGAGGGCCGCGGAGCTTCGCCGGGGAGCGGCCGGCCGGACCCCACGCGGCTCCCGCTCGGGCCGTCGGAGGGGGGGCGGCGAGGCGCGGGCCGTGGGCTTTATGCAAATCAGGGGCCGCGCCCGGGCGTCCGCGGGCCTCACGTCCAATAAGAAGAGCCCCCGCTTGACACCTGCCTATATACAGGCGAGCGCGCGGCCGGCGCGCACCGCGCGCACAGCCCGCACTGCCCACGCCGCGGGCCAGCGAGCGAGCCAGGAGCGAGGAGCGAGCGACGAGCCGGCGCCCCCATGACTTCCAGCGAGATCCAGCTGCCCGGCGAGGTGAAGGCCGACGCCGCCGCGCTCATGGCGTCCCTGCACCTCCTGCCGTCGCCCACGCCCAACCTCGAAATCAAGCACACCAAGGTAAGCGGCCGCCCGCCGTCCGCGGACGCGTTTCCAGAACCTTCGGTGCGCCCGCGGGGTCCCCGCGGGGTCCAGGGCGGCGGGACGAGGTCCCCGGGTCCTCTGCTGACACCCCGTCTCCGGGGGCCGGCTGCGTCCAGCCCGACCTGATCTGGGGACACCCCGAACCTGCAGCGCGGCCCCCCGAGGGGCGCCGTCAACGGCTGCTGTCCCCCAACTCCATCCGGGCGCTTTGCCCCGCTTTGCCCCCGGGGGGGGCCGCGGGCGGGGATGCCCCACGGAGTTGGCCGCCCGGCCGCGCGTCCCCACCGCATCCGTCCTCCGAGGGCCGGCCGAGCGCGGGCGCTTCTTCCCCGGGAGCTGCCCGGCCGGCCGGTGGACGAACGTCCTGGGATCCCGGCTGATGGCTGCCGTCGTCCGGGGGACAACCTTCCTTTGGGGTTTTGTAGCCGGTGGCAGTGTCCACGGACGACTTGGCAAGATGCAAACGGCCAGGCTCCCTTTGGCCGTAGGAGGGGGACATCTTTTTCTAAACCCACCCCGCCGCAACGAATGAATCCTGACATCGTGGTTTTGCCAAGCCTGATTTATTCCTTTTATATTCACTTTACATAACCACGAGTAGAGTGTCCCTACCCTGACGAGGCTGACGTGACTTAGTCTACATATTCGCGCGCGAGAAAAATAGCTTCGTTACACGCACAACGCGACAGCGTTTTAGAGGGGCGACGGAAGAGTTGGGGTGTAAAGCCCCGTCTCTTGGGGTTCATGTTACGCTTCTCATACTTGTACTTCTGTCCCTTTCGATCGATTTCTGCCCTGTACTTCTCACGGGCCCGTCCCACGCAGGCGCGCGCACGTCATGTGGTGAAAAGTGGTTTTCCAGCCCGCTTACTGCAAGATAAACGAAAGTTTTGTAGAGAAGTAAATTGTTTATGTAAGAAAGGACGCCAGCGTTTCGAAGCGTCGCTTTCATTGAGGTTTAGGATGCAAATCGGATGCGTACGTTGAATGTCGATTTAGATGGATTTGATGTACCTGTTAACGTTTTTTTTTTATTTTAGATGGCGTGACAAATTTTTGAAAGGCTTTTTAATGAGCGGTCGTTAATGGTTACAGCCATTTAAGCATTGTTTGCATAACAATAGTGCCAATGTGTGGCAAATCTCTGGGTTTAGGAACAAGTAGAAAAAGCATGCAGCACGAAAGTTGTGTTTGATGAAGGTTCCTAACCCCTACAGCCTCTCTTTAAAAAAATAAACTTAAGATGCAAGATGTGTATGGGAAGAGGGACCTCACCCGCGGGTTTGGGGTATTTGGGACGGGTGTGATTTTAGTTTTAGTTTTGCTCGGATTTCCCTAATAGCCCGTGAAAGAAGTTTGGGGTATGCAGTAGGTATCTTTCTTGGAATTTAATTTGGAGGCTCCTTGGGTTCTCTTTTTCTCTGACTGGCCCCTTTCTCTCTTCTCTCTTGTTCTCCCCCAGTAGGATAGACAACTGATTTATAGCTAATTGGAGCCTTTAATGTGGAGCCTTGTAGTTCCAAGAGGACTTTTATCCAGTATCCACTTTCCCACTTATTACAAAGAAAAACAATCAGAAATGAAATAATGGATTGTAATTTGATTCTTTAATTTGTGGGGAGGAGGTACCTTATACTTGGCTTGACAAACAGCCCTCATAAACATTGAGTAACACTAATCTGAAGGGAAACTCTTGCAACAAAAACTTGTAAAATCAAGGATCTGTGAACATTCCCAGCAGCTTCCTCCTCTGCTCTTTAGGGAGACTTCTAAATTTTCGGAGACAAGCAGTTTTTGTTTGCTTTTTTCAGTTGAAGAGTAGAAGCTGCTCTTTTGATAGCTGTGTGCAACGGATAATTATATATATATGTATGATTATATTTAAAAGAAAGTAAGATTAATAGAGAGCTTTCAAAAGTTTCCTTATAATTAGAAACAAGGGAATTGGCTGTTTCACAAAGCTGAGCAGAGTAGAATGGAGAGCTGACTCTAATACAGTGATAGCATGTTCATTGGGAGTTTTTAAAATAATGTCCCCCACGCCCCCCCAAAAATCAATGTGCATTAGGGCCTGTTGAATAAACGTATGAAGCACAGTATTTGTGTCAGAAAATGGTATTATAATTTAAACACAGATGGACCTGCAGTGAATTTTTGTCTTCTTCCATTGAATATATCTCCAGTGAGGAATACCATAATATGATTTTACTATATAATTTTTCAACATGATTTGGGGATCGCCAGAAAATCACTATTTACAGATAAGCAGTCAGAGTGTGAGAATTGTAAGCACCATGTACTTAGGTTACTTAGCATTTGCAGTCTTATATTTTTCTGTATTTTTCCACCATCCTCCATTTTTTTTCTGTAATAAGAGAGGGGGTCACTGAAGTATTGGTGTCCGCCTTTACCTGCCAGGGTCCAAGGGAAAATGTTTCAGAAATAAAGCTCAGCCCTTCGGGATGCTGAAAGCCCTTGTGGTTTTGTATTGCCTTGCAGATAGTCACATTCGATCTTTAAGCTTATCTCCCTGAAGTTCCTGTGTTGTCATTGAAGTATGTCTGCTTTGTTCTTTTAATACTTTATTTCCTTAATCCTGCAAACGACCTCAAGTTTTAAAAATGATTTCTTACTATGGATTATGCAAAAAAAATTCTGTTAGTTAAGGAAGAATGGCAATAACCTCACCTATGTTCAATAATGAAGGGGTCAATGTGGGGACGGGATATGTAAGCCTACAGCTAGCATAGAATACGATTCTGGTTACTTGTCTTCATCAAATAAAATTGTGTCCATGGTGTTTCAGTTTGATCAGCGAAGTTTTTAGAATTTTGTTTAGGGGTAAGAATAATCCCCAAACCCAATCTCCTTTGTTGACTCTAACTCATACGGATAAAATAGATTCTCTGGGACAGATACATCTTAAAGGGAAATGATAAGACTTCTAGGAAAGTTAATATATATTACTGAATAAAAATATATTCTGGACTATCTTGGAATAAAATCAGGGGGCCCAGAATGTGTGGGGTTTTTGTATAACAAGAAGATATTAGAAAATAGTCGTACTGTGATGGATGATTTTAGGACATTTTGCATTGCTTCCTTCCCATGAACCTATCTAAAGAAGCCATTGTGCAAAACTCTGGAATAACAGGATTATTACACCTGTCTCGTGCCGAGACTTGATTTACCTCTTTGTCTTACATTGCTTACTACAGAATAAGTGTTCAAATGTTAAAGCAGCATTGTGAGAGGGGAAAGTTCAAATATTATATACTGTCATTATCCCCCTTTCACCTCCTCATACCCGCACATTTTTGAATGCCCATAATCTGATATATAGATATGTGTTGTCTGTTTCAATGTAGAGGAGGTGACAATTAATACAGTTAATATAGTAGCATTCTTTATGATTTCCAATAGTCTTCATCTTTGAGTAGCATGCTGTGCTTCAGCCTGTCAGTGAAGAGATCTATGATTTCTTACTGCCACACCTGAAAATAGCAGCAATATCGCGTTCTCTAATATTTTAGGTTCAAATCTGGTGTTACACATTCACTTCTATGGTGGGATTTCTAAGTGGTTAAATTTGTGTATAGGTGCTATGGAAGTAGAGTGTGGTTTTCAAACCTAAAACAGAACCTAGCTCTCTAGTGCGCATTACTTTAAGAATGCCTAACAGGTTCGGCTGCTCAACCTAATTTTGTGAGAATGAACCTGTATTCTCTAAATTCCCTTAGCTTTGTACATGCCCTGAATAGGGCCTTTCCAATTTTTGCCTTGTGTTAACATTTTTCTGTGTACCTCCCTGTTGCCAAACTGTACTGGATGATACATTTTTATTCATCTCAGTATTTCTGCAGCACCTAGCTCAGGGTCTCTGGGTAACTTGGTGCTGTGATGGGTTGGTTATGTGTCGAGCTGCGCACCACTGGGTCAGCATCGGAACCCCCCAGGCGCGCCTCAGACGAAAGATAGCCCTTGCTGCTTCTGTAAATAGTCACAGCCTTAGAAAACCAAAAGGCAGTTCTAGGGTTACCGTGAGTTGGATGGGGCAGGGTTGGACAGCGCTTCCTTCTGTCATGTATGAGTTAGAACCTACTTGAGTCCAGATGATGTGAAGTGGGTTATGTTTGGGGTGCTAACTGCAAGATCAGAAGGTCAAATCCCCCACCCACTCCTTGGGAGAAAAATAAGACTTTCTACTCCTGAGAAGTTAACAGCCACCAAGGCAGTTCTGCTCTCTCCCCTATGGTAACTGACTCGATGGCAGTGCATGAGTAACAACGTGAGTAAGAACTGACTGGACGGCAGTGAGTTTGAGTGTTTGCTGAGCTAAGTGTCTATATAACAGGGTAGTTCCTTTGAAACTGTTTGCTGAATAAACACTTGTTCTATTTTGGCATAGTGACCCTATGAGATATGGGTTATGCACTGGGTTGCTTACCACAAGGACAATAGAACTTGTCCCATGGGTTTCCAAGGCTGTAAAATCATTATGGAAGAGGACTGCCACATCCTTCTCTTGCTGGTGAGTTCCTATTGCTGACCTTTCCGTTAGCATGTGTGCTTCAGTCATTGCGCCACCAGGGCTCCACGGGGATACGTGTGCACATTGTAAACTCCAGGCTAAGCACTTTAGGATAGCCCTTCCACGTGCCCAGAAGATCTTCTTTGGAAACATGCTGTTTTGTTTTCTATCTAAATTTGCATTGGGTGCCTACTTTTTTCCCTTTTATTTATTCATTTAACAAGTTTACTGAACATCTTTTCCTTTTAGGGTCCATTTCAAGTCAATCCAAAGGCTGTTTGATTGGCCCTGTTGCCAGCAACAGTGCTTTCCACTCTGCTAGGGGGGCTCTTGGAAGCATCTGTCTTATTAGGAGTTTACGGTTTTGTTAGATTTTCTGCCCACAATTTGTTGGTAGTAGTAGTAGTAGTAGTGACCCTATCTCATAGAGACCTTATAGACCACA